AGCATTTTTAACAAGAATTGGGACATTTCCAGTTGTGTTTATGTCAAGAAAAGTGGGTATTTCCAGCTGTGTTTGTAGAAGGAAAAGTGGGTATTTTTCAATAAGAGTTTGGGACATTTCCAGCTGTGTTTGTGGTGATAAAATTATTTTTTTATGATTAGAGGTTTGAACATTTCCAGCTGTGTTTGTAGTAAGAAAAGTGGGTATTTCTTAATTAAAGTTTGGGACATTTACAGCTGTGATTGTAGTAAGAAAAGTGGATATTTCTTAATTAAAGTTTGGGACATTTCCAGCTGTGTTTGTAGTAAGAAAAGTGGATATTTCTTGATTAAAGTTTGGGACATTTCCAGCTGTGTTTGTAGTAAGAAAAGTGGATATTTCTTAATTAAAGTTTGGGACATTTACAGCTGTGATTGTAGTAAGAAAAGTGGGTGTTTTTTAACGAGAGTTTGGGACATTTCCAGCTATGTTTGTAGAAAGTGGATATTTCCAGCTGTGTTTGTAGAAAGAAAAGTGGGTATTTTTTAACGAGAGTCTGGGACATTTCCAGCTGTGTTTGTGGTGATAAAATTGTTTTTTTATGATAAGAGGTTCGAACATTTTCAGCTGTGTTTGTAGTAAGAAAAGTGAGTATTTCTTAATTAAAGTTTGGGACATTTCCAGCTGTGTTTGTAGTCGGAAAAAGTGAGTATTGTAATTTTTTAATGAGGGTTTGGGACATTTCCAGCTGTGTTTCTAGTAAGAAAAGTGGGTATTGTATTTTTTAACCAGAGTTTGGGACATTTCCAATAGTGTTTGTAACAACAAAAGCTGGCACTTTATGATGATAGATTGGACCATTCCTGGTCATATCTGGGGCAACAACAGTGGGTAATTTTCAACAAGAGGTCTGTAAATTTATGGTGGTGAGTTTGGGACATTTCCAACTCTGTAGTGAGGAAAAGTTGTATTTGTAGTGAGGAAACCATGTATTTTAAGCCAAAACATATTTTGGTGTAGATAGGGCCATTTGCATGTTTGTGCCTGCCACATGGGAAAAGTTTCAGTCTGACTTGTGTAATGGCAGCAACAGAAAGTTTGCTTATTTGGCAGGGAGTTGGATAAGTAGGGATGTCAGTTAAAGAGCGCTCCTTTGATGTGGGTCAGGACACATTAGTGTACACACTGCTGAAAAAATGTGGCCACATGTGGCCCAGAATGTGGTCTGACCAATCAGATCTCAAGGCGCATTAAGGATGCGTTTGCTGCATTCACACCTGTACTTACTGAGTTGTCCGCCTATGATCTGATCACCCAGGACACATGTTAATGTTAGGTGTTAACATGGCCTTATTCAAACATTCACACACTGCCACGCAAGATCTTGTCCTGGCAGTTTAGGGGGCAATCTGGAATTCCGTATCTTGCTCAAGGACACTTCAACTTGTAGACAGGAGGAGCAGGAGGGTGGAACCACCAACCGATTAATGGATGACCTGCTCTCCCTCCTAGAGCAGCAACCTCCCTGTAATCAACTCCTTGGCTCGCATTAAACTACTCGCTCTAATTATTTATCACCTTCAGAATGAATGAGGAACATCACAGTATGACTTTGCCAATAACAGCGGGAGCTGCGGTCATATAGTTCTGCAGGAGTTTTACTGTACATCCAAAGTAACCATTTAGTGCATTACATTTGTACTCTGTCATTACTGACGCTGTTGCACCTCTCTAAGTACACTGTCTATTCAGCCTATCATATCCCATTGCAATTTTTCACCAAGGTTAATATGCAGTAGAAGTTAATACACCACAATTAAAGCATTGTGAAGTGTAATCAGACTTTTCCTCTCGAATCAGAGGGCAGCGCATCGATTCCTCCCTCCATTATTTTATTTACCATGTTCCTGGGCAGAGTTAAGGTGTAGTGCCTGAGTAAGGACAATTTAAATGCCAAACACGCTCAGCTTAACAGGAGGCAAATGTCATTTAGAAGGTCAATGTTCCATGAGTGGAAATAGGTGTTAAGGTAAACAGCATAGGTGATGGGCTTTTAACTTTCTTCCTGATGGTGTCTTTGCATCCTCTTACTCGACGAGTCTCCTCATATTGAGCCTGCAATATGATAGCATAATTTCTGTGTTATTTCATTCCAAGCACTCTGTCTGCTTATATTGCTTATATCTCCCCGTATGCACTGAGAGCATAAACAATTGTTTTAATCTCCCGGCCCTGCTAGCGCTGTTGGTTTACAGAGAATATTTATGCTGAGGGGCTCTCCCTCGCTGCTGCTGCTGCTGCTGCAGCTGGAATGAAAAGCGAACAATACAGTAGAGGTGGGACTGAATATCATCAGAGAGCATCAGTTTATTAACTGGGCTGACCAGAGGAAAAGCCAACAGACCTGCTGCAGCTTCACACTGGGTTTATTGGGTGGGAATACAGTGTGTTGCTATTCTCATCTGAAAGAAAAATAAAAAAGGGAGGACATTTGTTTGTGCTGCACACACAGGCACACCTTTATGAGCCCGGAGGACTCCACAGTCCCTTAAAAGATTCTGCCCCTGGCGCTTTTTTTTCTGCGCTGATGAATAAATAAAAAATTAGATAAGAAATTCATTGTCTGCAGTGGCCTGTGTCAGGTGTAAATGATCCAGTGAGGCTGAAAGCGCTCGCTCAACTGGCCCGTTAACGATTTGCAGCTCAATCCTATTAACGGCTGCCTTTGACCTGTTAAAAACAACAGGCGCTTTTTGTCTGGTTTTGTTTTTGTTTATATCTGTGTATGTATTGATGTGTGTGTGTGTGTGTGTGGGAAAGGGGGGGGGGGGGGGGTGTGCATGAACAGATGGACTTTAATCTCAAATTTCACACAGCTGAGAAATAACTTCAAAGTGGAACGGCCTGAAGGATGGAAGCGGAGGGAGGAATAGAGGGGAAAAAAAGCTGAAAGAATAAAGAACAGCAGCATTTACATGAGGAGAGAGATGTATCCACGGCAGCAGCGGAGGGGAACATACAATATTTAAAAGGTTGGAGACTGAGACAGCCTCTCCAACACAAACTTATTTGATCTGCAACTATTATTTCAAGGGCGTATCAAGGTAAACAATATGCCTGCAGTGGTGTGGGGGGGGGTTGAAGTTAGAAAAACACACCAACTGCCAAAACTCACCATGAGCATCCCCCCCTCAGAGTTATTAAAACTATATTTAGTTCAGACTTCATTACAGAGTGTCAATCCTCAACAGTCGGGACAGTGAAATTGCCTTTATGATTTGTGTCCAAACATGACACACTGCGGTGATCATATACTGACTCTGAAGTGCGGTATCAAAGCAAGAGGAGCTTCGCATTGTAGTCGACGCTGCACAGTCACAACATGTCTGACAAAGGAGTATTTTTTTTATCACCAAGAGGAAAACTTTATTAGCAGTATAGGGACATTACTAACATGTAGTATTTATTTCTAAGCACATAACAGCACATGAAAATAAAACAGAACCATGATGTAAAATGTATATACAGCAGAATACAGACTGACTTTTCACACACATGTATTAAAAACAGATTTTTCAGTCTTGTTCCTGTTTGTCTTCTTCTCCCTACCGAGCATTTGTATGTTTAATGAAAGATTTTCTGGCATTGTTTGCGTTCGTGTGCTCCTGCTCTCGCCGAGTGTGTCACTTTTGTCTTTACCCATGACTTATTTTTCTTGTTTTTGAACCTTGATATTTTTCCAATATGTGTTGTTGTCCCTGATGTCGATCCTTTGTCTGTCACCTCTTGTTCTAAGCTTCGAATAAAATACAAATCCCCCCAAAAATTCCCAGATAAAGAAAAGTTTATGGGGTATATTGTAGCTGCAGATATTGACACAATGGTGGTACATTCTCTGTATTATTGCTAACGTTAACCTCTGTTCACTTAAAGCCCCGCTATGATCGATCCCACACAATCTGAGTTTCCACTTAGCAGACGACACACGCTGACCCGCGGTCACATTAGTGAGGAGACAGAAGGACACTTCAACATTGATCAGGGGGTTTTAATCTCAGGAAGATTAAGAGCCCTCCAGTTAATTACAGAACAAAAGGCAGGAGGCGGCCATTTTAGATCCTGAACATGATTAAGAGGAGCACAAGTGGATGAGAACACTTCACAGAAAAAATTTATTTCTGAGCCCAAGACAAAGAACAGATAATAAGTGAGGGATGTAATATTGAAAGTTCCTGTGTTTGCTTTTAAGGTAAGGAAATTAAAGATCTACCAAATGACTGATACTCGTGTGCCGTCGTATTCAGGATATCTGTGAGAGACACGGACGAGACTCCACTGAGCTGAGTTCACTCTTTGTGGACACTGATAAAAGAATTTACTGTAAAACTTCAATTAAACACTCAGTCTCTTTTACTAACCCAGTGAAGCTACACATTTTGACAAATAAATGTTTGTCTCAATCAGATGACTGGTCTGGTTGCCAAGCAGTTTAATATTATAGACATTATTTGGATGAATAAAACCAGATTGTTCACGAGTGTCATAACATAACACATAATTAATAGCCTAATTTTTATATGAGTAATGTTCACAGTGGATGAAATAAGCAATTTGATCGTGCTTTCTATCTTTGCTGAGCAATAGTTATGTAAAAGGAGTTAAAGGCCTGTACCTAATATAGGCCTGTTGACTTCAATGATTTAAAAGGATAGTGCACCCAAAAATGAAAATTCAGCCATTATCTACTCAATCTCATCCCGAGGGAAGCTCTGGTTCAGAGAAAACAGAGTTAAAATGGCGTTTCTCCAAACAACTTTTCATGTCGGGGCTTCAGGACACTTGGATCACTACAGATGAGCAGTATGGAGATATTTTGTGGTTTCAATTATGTGTTTTTGGACGTTTGAATCTGGGGCGCCATCAGCCTCCATTAGGTGGAGTTGTGTTGCTACCTCCTCTCCCCTTGGATCTCTGCAAGGGATGTGAGGACTCTAAAACTTCAACTGAGCCTCCATCGGCATATGGGTGAGTAGATAATGGCTGAGTTTTCATTTTTGGGTGCACTATCCCTTTAAGCAAATAATAGCCTGTGTTGCTAATACAAGTTTTACGGTAAACATATTACATGAGTGTCTGAAGCTACTGGAGCAGCAGCAAACCTCAACTGAATGATGGGGCTCTATGTGGTTATGTGTTCTACCTTGTATTACCCACTTGTATTACCCCATGTTTTAACTAATGGGTTTATTGTATTTTTTTTTTTTTTTTGTATATTTTTCAGACCCAAATATTTTATTTGTGTGTGTCTATAAATAACTAACTCATTGAGTTTGAAATTTCTGATTTTGGTGTCCAAGTTGCAGTTAAAAAAAAGACACAAACACCTCCTGTTAGGGCTGTAAATAACAAGTTTCACCAGAATTATATTGATTCTTTGGACGATACAATATTTTGCTGATATCAAAAGGTCTGGCACGATACGATTTTGATTCGACTGAATTCAGGGGCCTGCGATCAATACTAGACAATATCAGTAAGTATCCTCATTTTATTTTTCTTGGCTGCATACCATTGTCTGTGTGGTGCTGGGCCGCTTGCACTGTTTGAATGGAAGGAGTTTCAAAATAAAGGCGTAGCTGAATTTGTTTTTATTCACACGTGTTGTATGTATAAGCACATTGAGATTACTTTGTATTAAATGTGCTACATAAATAAAATTTGATTTGATCTTAAGGATGACAATATGTGTTTATGTTCTCACTTTGCAACTATGATATTGGATCGTTGACCACTGACTCATTTAGATTGCTGTATCATTACCTCTACTTCCTACCCCTCCACAAATTCGACCCAGGGACAATGAGAAAAAGATGGTCTGGAAACATCACATAAACACATGAATTGTATCTGCAGTCTCTTATTTTCAAACAAAATCCTGTCATTAGAATAATTTTCACATAATTACACACATTAAAGCTGCTGAAAACTTTTCAATTTCAAATCTTGAGTATTACTATTATGTTCATGACCAAAGAAGTTAAGTAATGAACTATGTAACAAAATCTGTGTACCAACACCCCTTAGGCTCAATTATTAACACCTTATAATAATTAGTTTTCTTAATAAGTGAAAAACAATGTAAGAACAAGCATAAAAACAACAGTTCAACCAGTTAATCAGTGGACACTTTGAATTGAAGATTCTGGTCCAGGCCAAGAAACAGTCTGACACATAATCCCTGTATATTGACAAATTCTTTTTTATACACTTAAGCAGTTGTATGGACGAAACAAATACATTGCTGCACTATTAGTGAGCATCTGAGGTGCCTGTTGGTGAATATTTTTAACACTGGGCACAGTCAGGTTATAGCTGTCTTTCTGTTTATCTAAGTCTCGGCATGTATTGCTTACAGTTTCCCACCCAAACAAAAAAAAGTAGTGGGTGTGGTCTGATCAGATGTGACAAAAATACATGACATCACATTTTTCCAACAGACTGCCCAATGAAAATCAGTGAGAAAAGAAAAGGACGAAGACAAATCCTCAATTTAAAGAACCAAACTGCTCAAACTCTGGCAGAACCTCATGTGTTCATGTAGGGCGTCATCGATCATAGTATGAAAGTAAAAGAGAAAATATTCATTTTTCGGGGCCTCTAAGCTATTTCTAATTTTGCTCCATATCCTCCGACGCCTTTTTAAAACACCTTCACTGGTCCCTGTACCCATCGATCTGTCCTCCCGTGTTGAAATGGACTTGTCTCCCAGTGACAGATCACGAGATCCTCCTTTGTATGCATTCATAATCAAATAAGCTGCTCTTACTTTATTAACTCGGACAAGCTCACTTCAGATAAGCCTGTCGTGCTAAGCCACCTCAGAGGGGGAATCAGCACCCGGAGGTGATGAGAGTCGACTCCGGGAGCCTGAGATGCAAGCTTTAGGTCGCTGTGTTATTGTGTGAGGCTTGGCCCGAGGCTCCGGAGAGAATCACTTCCCCTAATGGAAAACTATTGTCTGCCACTGAGGACATACAACTGTGTGGAATACGGATCAGCCTATCTGGACTTATGCACAAGACAGAATGAAGCTCTCTATCCGATAGAAAGCTATTTTGGAATTGTAATATCCACTGAAGTCGATTCTGATTAAGCAATACATCTGGAATAGACTGTACTCTTGTGTGCGGCTGCTGCTGGTGTTTTCCAGCGTTGTGGTGATGCACGTAGAAAACTGAAAAACAGCATATAATAAGAAAAAAAGCTACTTATTCTCGTGCACTGCCCCATATTTTAACTCAGGCAGCGGAGTAAACATCTAAAGCTGTCATAACAATGCAACAATAAGGCACTTTGTGAATTATTTATTCACTGGAGTGGATGGGATATAGGTTAATGAGCACGACAATATGAAATTAGACGTGTCTTTGCTGGGAGTATGATGTCATACCTTAGCATATTACATTATTTATTTACTCTTCCTCCCTGGTAGGCGTTGTCTAATGTGAGTGGTCGACACATCCTCTCCACAACAGTCTAAATTAAGAAAGACACAGGGCAGGTTCAGAGTCAGTTCAGAGCACTCCTGTGTGTATGTAAAATGTATACAGAGCCGCAGAGGCTCTGAAGGAAATATTCTCCGACAGATCGTCCCAGAGGATGAGGAACTCCATTTGCCTCACGGGTTTCCTCCGTCCCTCCCTTCCTCCCGAGAATGACGATGTGCGATACATGCATTATCTTTTTTCCCCCCATTTCCTGCGTCTCAACAGGTCGGTCCATCTCATCCCCCGCAGGAGTCACCTCGGTCCAGACTGTGAAAATGTGTCCACTGTTTGGTCAAAGGGAGGGCGATCCTTTGTGAAGTGGGACGGCCTTTTTGGGATTTGTTTTGTCACTGTGTGGGCTTGAATGTTTGATGGAAGCTTGTGTGCGGTTTGTCAAGTCTATTAAGAGAGAGAAGAAGAAGAGAGGACAAACAGTATTAGCTTAGAAGAAAAAGAAAAAGCAAAGCTAAGGACATTTCCAGGACTGTCCTTTTGTCACATCCTGGTATCCGCATTTCAAGTTTTTTGGCTAATGCAACCAGTCAGGCATTACATTTCTCCACTTAATACAAGAGCAGGGTGTCATTTTCAAAGTGCAGCAACAGGGACCCCGTTGTGGGTCAGATGACACAGAGCGCTCTCATACACTAATTGCATAGGTACAAAGTGAGGCAGAGAGTCCGGCGGGACAGGAATCCCCTTGAGGGGATTGTGGAAGGGTATAACAGCAGAGCTGAGGGTCGAGCCTCCAAACTAGGGGCAATTCTGAGGGATTTCACAAGCTCCCGGAAAATATTTTCAACATTAACCATCCATCAAGAGAACATCAGGTTGCCTCAAAGTCACATTAATATTTGATATCATGATAACGTGGTGTCCTCTGCAGGATCTTTCATTTTGTACTTTCTAAGGGTTTTCAAATTGACATCTAAACAGGTTGGAATATCATTTAAGACTTTCTCTGAGGGTCACCCTCCTTCATCTGGAGGAATTCTGTTGTTACTGCCTGGTTTAGATCCATACATATCATCACATATATGCATGAATATTTTTCTGTAGCCATAATGGAACCTCCATAACAATTTGGAAGGGTCATCCAATCAAACTCATATCTGTACTCGTGGTATCAGTGTTTTTTCCTTCTTTACAAGCACAAAATAAGAGCTGCATGATATGGAGAAAATCAAATATCACAATTCTTTTGACCAAACACCTTGGTATCAATATTGCGACTATGTTTTAGGTTTGACCACTGATGCTTAACGCTGATAAATTGATAAATAATCATCAGTAATGTGGCTATAATGGCTGGAGGGGTAAAGGCAAATAATAGAACAGCTAGAAGAGTCTGGTAAGGTCAAACAATTACATCATTTTACTAAACTGCAGCCTTTAAAACCAGGAAAACACAACACTCATGATATTACTGTATACAAAACCTACGACGATATATTGCCCAACTACACAAAATCATCACAGATATGCTTATTAAACTACTTATACTGCATTATTCAGATCAATATGTTTGATCATACATCTCTTTAATAACTGATAGAACACCGTAATTAAGCCATTGCCCATTTAGTCCTGTAACCTTTTCAAGAATCCGGAAGGGTCCCCACATCCAACCTTGAAGCTCAAATAATATTTGACCCTCATTTGAGATTTAATATATCACCATGTACAAAACTGTCATAGACGCTAGACACGTAACATGTCTCTATTACAATTGCAAGAACTTTTCACTTAAGCTAATGACCATGTTTGACTTCTTGGAACGTTTTCAAGAATCCCAAAGTTTGGTAGATCAAACGTTTTAATCAAACCTTATTTGACCCTTATTAAACCCCATAATTCCATAATTAAAGTACAAGTGTAATGTTTAAATTCACAAAATCATCCTAATTTAACTGCTTATACTGCATAGTTAAGATCATTACCTCTTAATACCTGAGAAATGAAATCAAGCTGTTACCTCTTTTGTCTCAAAGCTTTTTAAGAATTTGGAAAGGTTGCCAGATCCAACCTGCCACATTTTACGCGCCCTCAAATTCACTGTTTTTTATGTAGACATGCAGCAGGCACACTCAAACGCCAGAGTGATGCCATCAGGGTATGCATGCACTCCTGAGCATCTATTTTTCAGGGTGCAACACCTGCATCTTGAGAGAAACAGAGTTCAACTGTCTTGTGATGAGGAACAACCAATTACAGCCGACAGACATCTTTTTCTTTTTCCGTAAATATCAGTTTGTGATAAATATGGAGGAGAATTTAAACATTTTGGTGCAGAGCTGCCAGAGCTTTACATCTGTCCCACGGATGATAGGCTGTCACACAAAAAGCGCCTAGACGAAGATCAGCTCCGCACTCAGGATTTCAGGTCCATAGACTATGATACGGTGATTGTCAAGGTTGCTCAGCAAACCCAAACGCAACCTGCTGCCTCGCTCTTGAAAGCTGGCACAGAAAAGGTACGTGTTATTGTGTTTACATGTACTCAAACGGTACAGACGCCACTGACATGCCTCAATTAATAATTGAAAGAACTGTGAAACTGTTTTGCAGACTTCTGGGAACCTTTTCAAGAACTCCTGAAGGTTGGCAGACCCAGCCTTTTTTTGACCCTTACATAACCCCATATTTTCAGCACATGTTTAATGTTAACATGCATCTGAAACATCTGACACATAAATAAAACAGCATACCTTTAGCACCAGTGAGATACTTGGACGGATGGCCTGGGCTAGCCGGGACATCGACCTAGAAAGGAATATAAAAAACACTATGATCATGCAAGTTCACAACATATTTTACAACTAATATTATGAAACAACTGCCAAGACACATCATATTTTATGGTTCAATTATTAACAGAGGATATATTTTATCAAAGTCTTAGGATAAAGTTATTTCACTACACAGTTCGTTGACATATTACTGCTATTTATCATAATTTTTACAGGTTGTTTGTTACAGATATCTAATTATTCCCAGCTTTGTGTCTAGATTACGGTCTTAACAGAGACAGGAAAACATATTACATTGAAGTTTAGAGAGGGTTTATGTTCAACTACGTTAGGGGAGAGGTTAAACTGGGTCAGGTTGTTTACCTTGTGGGACGGAGGTCTTTTTAAACAGCTACTGCCATCCTCTCTCTGCGGAGGTCAGCTGGGGGTCATTTAGAGTCTCTTTAATGGACGGGGCAAAGGCAGGCTCTTTAAACGACTGGGAGAGGGTCACATGACCGAAGGAGAACAGAAAGAGCAAAACAAGAAGAGAGAGCAATCCCCCACCCCTGTGCTGGACTGAACATGGCCTAGAGGTCAAGGAGGCTTTCATGCAGCGCTACGAGCCGTATCTGTCAGGGTAAACACTCAGAGAGTTAATGTGTGTTTACTGATGATGCTTGACTTGATCAGCGTTTGCCTCACATCGAATTATATGAACAAACAGAGCGGGTAGGGTTTCAAGAGTGCCGATGTCGTTATCGCTAAATCCTCTAAATCTCAGTCGGGGAGATTTCCGACAAAATGCATCACATGACGTTCAAATACAAATGGGAAACCGTTCTTATCAGATTACCAAGGTCGTCTACAAGGTCACAAACTACTTCCATTTGCAGTTTGAACTGTGTGTCAGTATTTTTGGTAATCCCACTTTGGATTTTATGCCAGAACATATGATTTATCTTGTTTTTCACTTAGTTATGACATCATGTTTTAATTCAGTACAAGCTTCCATCCAAACTCGAGCTTTTTCATTTGGGTTTTTGTTAGTTTAAATTATAAGTCTTATTTATGAGTCCATAATTATTCTCTTGAACACAAGTGTTTTCTTTCAAAATGTTTATTCAGCATCAACAAAGAAGAAAAAATATTAAAGGGCTTACATAAGCTCAAAATCATTATAGTTGAACAAATCTCTAGATGGAAATGATTACCAATTCACCAGCATGTGATTGAGGATCTTAAAACTGATTATTATGCCTACAAAGTCAGAAAAGTATCTGGTATTAAAATCAATAAATGACATCAAAATTACTTATTTAGAGCATCTAAAAAAAAAACAGAAAAAGAAAAATCACAAAAATTAAAAAGCTCCCGGATTGATTCGCAGCTCTGGCTGTTCGGTGTACACAAAGTATGAGCGGCTATTTATAGATGTGTTTTAGGGGGAATAATCATGAACACAACTACATAGGCTTTTCAGAATAAAACAGCTGACAATATCCACAGTTGCACACCATGCTTTTATAAGCCCTTTAACACTAAAGAACTATTATTTTACAAAAAGGAGGAAACAGCAAAAACAATATGTATACAGTATGACTTTTCTCTTGTTCAGTTTGGAAATTTACAAGGGACACAATTTTCACCAATTACCCCTCAGAAAAAATATCTACAGTACTGCACTTTCCTAGAACTAAGCTACTACATTTTAAAGTGATCAACCACGCAGTTCAGGGTTTGAAGAATAGAGGGTGATAAATTAAGTTGCGCTGGCAGCTGTGTAGAAACATTGTACGACAGCATAGTGATTCTCTAATCATTACCAAGTAAAATAGCTCGGTACAATGTCATTCTTCACCATCACATAGCTGAGAGAGAAACTTAATGTGCTATGGAGTCTTAATCTCAACGTCCAGTCGATTTCTCCTGGAGGAAAGGATAGATTACCTAAATTGTTTTACACATTTTTACCCAGTGGGAGTATGTTTTTATAATCAGGGGGAGGCCATTTTTTTTCTTTTTGGAAATCAGTTGTTTTTTTTCTCACTATCGCTGTTTCATTTGTGTTATTTTGCGGTTTTAGTTTTCAATTCTAAAAAGGTGGGAGCGTCCATAAAAAATCCATTACTTGAGTTGAAACAGCCATGAGGACTCAGGTGCGGGTTGTATAAACAGTTCAATATCTGGTGTATGGCTGATCTCTGTACACTCCCTTGGTTGTTCGTGCTGGCGGTGCCTTGCCAAGATTGTTTGCCCACTCCTCCAGACCTGGTTCAGAAGAAAAGAGCAGAAACCGATGGGGGTTGATCAAAGAGGGGTTAAATCAGTCATTCACAACAACTCATGTCAAGCTCTGCACAAATTAGGGATGCATTGATTCACTGGATGAACATCAGTATCAGCTGATATTCGCCTTGGTGACTGCCATCAGTCTATTGGCAATTAAGATGACATCCACTGATGGCGGTGGTCGATGTTTCTCTGTATGGATACAGACATGAATGGAGCCTTCTGCGATGATTTCATCTATATTCGTAAACCACCACCATCTACAATGCTGCCTCTATTACAAGGTACATTATAACGGCCTCCTCCACTGTCGCCTCTTTTGTTGTCGTCCGAAATTTAATCCGACCCTCTTTGCCAACACAAAGGACGGTATGACAGCAGTGACGTTTACAAAGTCTGAAATGGACGTAACTATTGTGGTATGTCAAGGGAGTATAAATAAGCCCAAACAGCATCCCATCATACTGTTGGGGGGCAATCGAAAACAAGTTTAGGATGAACAGACTAAGACATCATTGGGAGAAAGGTGGTGGGTGATATGGCCCAAAATAATATCAAGATATTTCAGGGTATTTTTGTAATAACGATTTTCTTGGCGAAATGACAAATACATTAAAATATATATATTTTATTGATTTAAGTAAATCGAATTGCAACAAAGTAAGTAATATAGTTTTACAGTTTTCTTCAAATATTCAGTAAAAGCTAAATAAAAATGATCTCTTATTTCTTTAGTTTGTGAACAACAACAGTAACTCAGAGTCAGGGATGGGCAGTATTTCTATTACTTGTATTTAAAATACGTGTTTCAATTACATTTGAGTATTTTGTGATTTGTATTTGATGAGGCCAATAAAAAGCAAATGTAATTTGTAACAAAATACTTTTGAGTGGAGAAATTTTTTATTTAAAATACTCAAAATACTTTCTCCACGAATCAAAAAACAAAAATAATAGGCTACACATTCTTATAGTATTGGATGTAACAATATATTTTACTTCTTTTTTTTTTTTCTTTAAATATTTTTATCTATATGTTTTTTTTAAACTTGGACCATTCAGTGTGCCCTTCAATGACCGAGTGCTCTGTTTTACTGGACTGTGCATAACATAGGAAATTGTATGTTGTTGTGGTTGATGCTTGGGATGAGTATGCTGCAAATGAATTGCCTCACGTGGGATCAATAAAGTTGTCTGAATCTAAATCTGAATCAGTTACAGTGCAGTTACTTGTGGTCTCTCATTGCAGCATGTAAGTTTTGAGCATTTTTGGTCAAGGACTTTTTGAGTTATTCACAAAAAGGATTGAATCGGTTAGTATAGCGCCACCTATGGAAAAATCGTGGGCATTCCTTCTTGTATAGTTACTCATGGTCTCTAGTTGCAGTATGCAAATTTTGAGCATTGTTGGTCAAGGACTTTTTGAGTTATTCATGAGCTGTGTGAGCTTTGTGGACCGACCGACCAACCAACCGACAGACAGAGTGACGTATAGAGCTGCAGGTTGCTGCTTAAAAGAAAAAAGAAAAAAAGTATTTTCTGTATTTGAAAATACAAAATACATGTATTATATTTTGATACATTTATTTGAGGGGTATTTTGTATCAAAATACATTTTGTTGTATTTTTGCCCATCTCTGCTCAGAGCGAGACTCAGATTCTGTTACAATATTAATAGTTCAGCTTGATGTCAACAATATTGCAAATATGAATTATGATATTAAAAATATGCTGCTACGGTTGTGAACGAGATGCTATGGCACACCCCTGATGTAAACTCACTTTTAATGCTTATTGTTCCCCTGATAATGCTACATTGTGAACAACAAATTTGTGTTGACATCAGCAGGAGGAGAGGTAGTTAACGTTAGCCGTGTAATCTTGTAAAATGTAGTTTTTGGCGATTTGGAGGTATTTGTTGTTCGATGTTTTCACAACAATATAAAATAGAGTTAATTAAAAATGTTTTTAATGTGAAAGGTTATTTAAAAGTTTTGTTTTTTTTCATAAATGTGTCGCACTGAATTGGTGCACTTCCAATTAATGTCTTTAGAACACTTCGTTATTTTTTTCGCCAAAGAGAATTTCTTTGTTTTCCTGGCAGAAAAGGGGAAATAAATAACAATAAAAACAAAATAAACAACAACAAAAAACAAACATTGGTATTGGCCTAGAATTTCACAGTCGGTGCATAACCAGCACAAATATTCTTGTCATGCTTCCTCCGATGAAAGTAATGCAGCAGAAAGTTTTGACTGTCTCATATCGACAATGCTCATCTCCTAACAAAAGCGCCGCTTCAAGCCGGGTATACAAACAGCGACTCGCACCAAGACGCTTGACTTTCACCTGGAAGGATGCATCTCAGATAATTGAATGAGAGGATCAAATAGCTACTTGAAAAGGAGCCGTTTAGTGGCTCCCAGCAAAAAGGTCACAATTACCATTAGCCCAAATCAGCCCCTGTTCACCCCCTGGTACTGTCAATGTGAAAGTGCCACTATCGATGGCACCCTTTGTCTGATCTTCAGCCAGCGCCGAGACTTCCCTAGAGCTGAGGCTCACAAAGGGTTGTTTTTTTTCTGTGCAGAGGCTCTCTGTTGGCAGCACATAGCCAATACCCCTTAATTAAACCTGTCACCCTTTCACTGACAGTCACTTTGAAGAAATAGACCAAGGTAACCTTGTGTTTCGAGAACAAGGGTGCACATCAACGCTGTTTATCTGTTTCCTTTGAACTGTCGCCCTTTTTTCCGTGTGACCCATGCAGCAGCGGTTTTCATTTCATGTGGAGGTACGCAGCGCTCTAATGAGATGGAGGTGCTTAGTTCTTCCTCTTGTGCGGTCAGAAAAGTTGGGAAAGTTTTTTATTAGCTTACAGAAACACATTAAAATCTCTAAAGCGTGACATGAACACACGTCAGTCTTCAATAGGTTTAATGATGCAGAGGATTTAATAATTATAATTATGTTATCTCAGTCGGTCGGTAACTAAAAGCGTTAAAAACAAAAACATTTACATAATACGTAATCTTGTCTGAGAGCTTGACACAAATGCACAAACTAATCCATCACAACACAAATAAACATTGTACTCTTATATTTGCTAATGATGCTATAAATACTTCATCTTGCAATTTTCCAGTTACACAGACTACAAATGAATATATGATATATATATATATATAGATATATATATATATCTATATATATATATATATTATTAGAGATGGACCAACCTTCAGCCGTCTAGCAGCACGGTCTACTGTACCTTACTGTATATTAGCTCTGCTATCATTCAAGTGCGCTCTGCAGCAAATACGACCTTGGCCCACTTTACTGGATCTTGTGAAAGGCCGACACAGTACTGTTGAACATTATCTCAGTGGTGTTAACTTTGTGTGGATTTAGTGGCAATTGGAGCTCTTTCCAGACACGATGAGCAGCTTTTAACCAGACAGCAGCCGTTGACACTGGCCTTAAACAGAAACATGTTGAGCTGATTGCAGAGACGCAAACTACTGTGTGACTGAACACTTATTTTTGGGGGTTTGGAAACAGTGCCTGAACAGAGAAGTCACATGGTAAGTTGGTAAAAGAGTAGCTGGTGACTTTCACAAAGTTTACTTCTTGCCATATTTGCTGAAACTGTCACTACAGATAGAAAAAACTACACGAGACAGTCCATGATAAAAACATGTCTGTCCTCCTCCTTGTAGTGCTTCTAATGGCATTTGCTAGAATCCACAGCAGCTGATGGAAAACAACCAATCAGAGCTGAGGTGTCTCTAGTCCAGCTGTTAACCATGTCCATCACTGCTAATGTCATTGGCAGCCATTTTGAAAACAAGCCAAAACAAAGCTCTGCCCATGAGCGGGAGCAAACTTCCTGTGCATTCAACACCCATACTCCCATACTACATAGTATGCCAGAAAAAGATTTAGTATGTCAAATTCAATAGGACAAAAATACCAGTATGTTCTGCTATATCGGGTCAGATTTTGCAGTATGCAGCCAGCATGCTTTTCTGGTTATTCTGACCCACAATCCTCTGCACAGTGGATGATACGTCGACTGACCTGCTAACAAACGACAGCTGAGAAGTTGGAATGACGGATGACAGCACATTCAAGTAGCCGGTGACCAGTTGAATAGTAATAATAGGAATATTAATTGTTTAAGTGAGCAAAATAATCATAAATATCACAAACAACAAAAGGACATCACTATGAAAATAACTGACAGAGAACTGCTGATGTAATGTAAGTAACAACAGCAGAGCTCTCAGGGTTGATCTGTCGTCTATCTCCAAACTTGGTTAGAAGCGTTTGTTTCTCTCCAAGGTTATGGATATAAAAGCAACAGGGTCAAAGTTCAGCACATAATGTTACGAGGAAGTAGTATGTCCTGATTATGTGCATACTGCAACATTACATACTTTATGAGGGCAGCTGCAGTACCTACTAAAAGTTAAAAGGAAAAGTATGCAATTCGGAACGCATCCTTTCTCATTTAACAGCTAAACAGTACACTAAAATATGTTTCTGAAAACATTTGGGGTGAGAAATGACTGTCTCATATACATGTCTGGATATAACGACAGTGGTGGGTGCGGTTACATGATGGCTTCTCATTCAGAATGAAATAAATCTGAATGAAATCATTAGGAATTAAAGTTTTTCCAGGTAGTTTACATGGGAAATATTCATTCTGAATGAGGGTTTACACGGGAGTTTAATCGCTTTTATTCGGGTCTGCGCAAGGTTTGGGGCAGGGAAGGTTTCTGATTGGATAGGGGGCGGGGCGGATGTTACGTGTTTACGTTTACCGGAAGAAAACACTGTAGTCCTCACTCCGGATACCAAGATGCTTGACGATGTCATTCTCAGTGCCTTTTTAGGGCTTGTTTTGCTTATATTCTTGAAGCAGCAGTACGACAACAACCTTGTTCTGCTATTGCTTCGTCTGTTGAGGAGGAGAAGGGAGGTAGAAGGTTGATGAAGGGAGATAGAAGACCGTGCTGTGGCGACGAGACCGACTGCTCTATCTCAGCCCGTTGCTATGCACGCTATATCGCGCCAGAAGGGCAAGGAAACGAGCATGTGCAGAAAGACCGTAATGAACTTAAAGAGGAATGAGTGTATACAAGTGCAAGAAATTCTTTCATTCGGAATTAGAAACGGAATATTCCAGCCCCTTACATTGGATTGAATTTTCAGTCGCATTGGCCATTTTCATTCCGAATTAGGTGTTTACAAGATCACTTTTAGTAGGAATGAACTTTATTCTGAATGAAAAGGGAATTAAACTGTCCATGTAAACGCACTGAGTGTCAGTAAAAACAGAAAAGTCACCAGCTGTAGCTTTAACTGGTTAAGCTTTAGTAATATACAGTATCACGCTGCAGGTAAGAGGTTTAGTTTTGCTGAGGATGAGAACACACGGATCAAAGTAAATCTGATTTCCCTGTATATCCAGGCAAACATCATGAATTTGATTTGTTAGAATACACATACACAGAAAGGACAGTTGCTAATGCACATGCAAAAAAACTCAAAAGTTCTTTATTAACTCATATTTAATCGAATCAATCCAAACTCCTCCAGATTTATGAATGAATGAGGACCCTTACAGCTGCTTAGTAGCACTGGTTCTTTTCCACGTGAGGTTTCAGCAGTGAGTAGATGTTGAAGTGATTGTGCAGCTCAAGTATCAGCTTGTCACAGTCTCTTTCTGCTTTTGACACTTTCTTTTGAAGTGCTTCAGAGCAGTCAAAAACTCAATTCAAAATATCACCCAAGTCTTTTTGTTGGTCAAATTCTTTTGAACAAAACAGTAAAATAACATTAAATAATCTGATTAAATGAAATTGTTATACTTACAATGTTTGTTCAGGATCATTTCTTTTAGTTTAGCTAACACTGTCACTCAACAAGACAGACAAGATGACTTCTTAGTGGCACTGGATCTCATTCACCAACTGTTCGTAGCAAATTTCTTCTTAAAACCCACATGCACACTTTTCACAAAGATTCTGACTTTCACAAATGTTTTCTTATTTGGGGTTGATTCAGAAGTAAGAACAGAACGCACACTAAAATAATCAGTTACTGTATTTTCTTTGATTCTACAATTGTAAAATACTACAGTATCTAAATTATAATAATCTTTAATGATCATTTTTTATTATTTTACAAAGCATAACAGTCTGTTAAAATAAATAACCACTGTACTCACACTTCAGTTCACATCAATTATGTTAATTGGAAACATGCCATCCAATAATTAGTAATTTATTTATAGGCCCAAAGTCGGCCTCTTCCTGCAGCCTTGGTCGGCTCACACGTGGCACATTTACTGCTGCTGCAGGATGTTACAGATCTTGCTCTGAGGAGGGAACACGTCTTCCAGGACCTTACAGATGTATATGTAAAGAGTGAAGAGGGGCAGCCTGTCCTCCTCCGCTGGTCAGCGTCTCTCAAAATAAAACTTTATTTCTCTACTTCAACAGTGCGTCAGTGCGCCCTTCTGCAGGTACAACATTCACTGAACGGGTTATAGCATCCCATGCATCATTTTCTTTTGTGTTTCTTTATATCTACTACACATGCTATTAAATATGACAGCTCACTTCAGAACAATGAAGTCCAGTGTTCTTTATACATTTGTATGGACTTTCATGTCTTATTTCTTCCAAATTTTCTTTTCAGTTTCTGTGTGCACACGACCCTGCGGTCTCATGACCTTTAATGGGAACTGGTGGGGTGTTTACCTGTGCTAATCAGGATCAGCTGGTGCACACTTTCGATTTACAAGGATAATTCACGGGATACATGATCACAACAGAGGTGCGAGCAATTCTGGGGTTTAAGAACAGTCATGAATCTGATGTAGAGATTTCTTAAAAGCAAATTTATAAAAGACATTCAGGAAGATGAAGGTGAATGAGGTCCATGGCTCTCTCCTAATGAGCCAAATAAACTGAAGGACTAAAAGCTCTGAATTATGAATAAACCACTTTAGAAGTGTTTATTTCGAACAGCTCTAAGACATCACACATTAACTGAGACGCCGTGACAGCTGAGATGAAGCCTGCAGTGCAGAGACGGCGACTAGAAATAGACGCTCTGACAATTGACAGAAGAAATATGGAGAAGGAGAGGTCTGCAACTCACCATACGACTCGTATGATTCCCCGCTGTGTCCGTATTCATAGTAGTCGTCTGAGCTGTAAACAGACAGAGCACTGAGGTGAGTCTCAGGATGTATAGATACAAACAAAACACTCTGCATCAACAGAACTTATTTTCAGTATCATGGTAGAACATCAAAGTATTTATCTTGATGCAATCAGATATAATTTATGCACTGGCAATAAAGAAAAACACACAGGAAGTGTTTTTTTTTTTCCAGATATACTCTGCTGGATATAAAAGTAAAAAGCAAACAAGAGGCAGCTTTCAATCAATCAAAAGTTGTGCCACATTTGTGGTTTTCCAAGGCAATTTCCTCCACTGCATTTCTGCACAAACTTCCAGTTCCATATCACTGCATATGGAGATCTATGAGAGGTGGCAACTTTAATGAAAAATAAAAAGATGGGGAGGCGAGTTGCATAGCGCTTCATTTCTCGCTTATTTATTTATTTCTTTATTTGCGGTCGCCGTCGAGATGCTGACAGAACAATCCTGCGTCAGTATCATTCAGTAACAGCGCTATCATTCAAGAGAGGCAATTCATCATAAGGCTGCCACTGAGCCGACACCAGCCATCACAGCTGGGTCCTCTCCGCCTGCCTGTCAGTCAGTCTGTCAGCGACAGCAGCACCTCTTTGCTCTCCGGATTAGAGGGCTGAAGGCACCATCCAAAACCCCGACACACCACATCAACACCGCCCGACTGCTGAGGGCAAAGAGGTGACAGCAATGACACACCGCAGTGGAAGTAACGGAGTACATTTCGCTCCAGTTACTGTAATGGAGTAGCTTTTTGTGGTGTGATCTTAAAAAGCCAAACTGAAGTCTGAGAGGTTGAGACACTCTGCTCCTCTATCAAATTACACCACAGTGTGCAGCACTCCAGGAAATCAATCCCACTAATTCTGTCTGCTATTAAGTTTGCTCTCTCTGAGCTCTACCTGCTTTACAAAGAGTGGCTGCACAATTTTAAGTTATTATTAATCTTCACATTCATTTTTTACTGACAACCTGAAGATGTGCTGCTCAGTGTTTTTATTACTGCCACCGTATGATGGCACTATCACATGAGGTGCTGTCATACAGGTTTGAAGAAACAGAAGGATACTGCACTTACATTTTTTCTATCATTATACGACACATATTCCATTAAACATTTTGTCAACATTCTGCCATGCTTATGACCAGGACTGTCCTGAATACCATTACCTGGGCTTCGAAGCTTCAGTGATAACTCAGAGAATATTCGAAGCTTCGACAGGATGGGACACCTTCCACCTCCTTTCAGTTTCTTCCACCAGTTTACTTGTGAAACATTAGACTACTGAGTTGGACGTTGATTACCCAGCAACAACTAAAGCTTTGAAGCGCTCGGTTCTCAATTGTAAAAAGCCACTTATAATCCTACTAACGACCCAATTGCCACGATTAATTTTGCCATTGTATATTTCTTTAAACCACAGATATGTAACATTTGTACGTTATCCTGCAGCAGATACATTGAAACTTTGCATTTTTTATGTTTCAACAACGCTGTGGCTATTGTGTGGTTCAGCTTGGCCAAAAAAAAAACCCAACAACTATTGGTTTAGGTACCAAAAAGTCATGTTTGGTTGCAGAACGCCTGCTAGAAACGCAGCAATGTCTCAGCAAAAAACAAACACTTTAATTGTTAAAAAAACAACTGCTTATTTGTGGCACTATTCCAGCAGGAATGGCAGCGATGTCTCAGTGACAAAAAAAAAACTTTGTGGCACTGCACCCAGTGGAAACATAGCTACGGGTTGCAAAAACACTCCCATGTTTGTTGGCTAGAACGCCAAAAAATGCAGCAATGACTCAGCAAAAACAACAAGTATTGCTTCTTGTTCGCCTCAAACTGTAGTTTGCAGTTTAGCAGATGTCTTACACCATCCAGCATCTGCTCCACCTCCAGATGATAAAGTCAATTCATACGTAACTTTAGAAGCACAGATATGACACGTATTAAATCTGCAGATGTAACGTGTCAATGGCTTTCAGAAACGTACAAAACCAACATTTACTTCTGGTGTCTGGGCTGCTTCTGTTGACAAATGCTACAGCACTGCTGACTGATGAAGCTGAAGGTCTGTTACTTTATGTTCGCATAGCTGCTGTCCAGCTAGTTTGCAGGCTTAGCAAGCATACTGGATGACATGTAGCAAAATAAATGGAAGTTAAACCTGCAAGTGACACACTGCTACTGATGCAAAGTCTGCTTTTAATCTGTTCATGGTGACAAAACTAAAATAAAACAGCTTCTCTTCAATTTAAAGGGCCGGTTCACCCAAATCACTGACATCTTTCTGCTGTCAGAAAGAAGCAGCTGTATGATTTTTTAGGGTTTTCCTCTGCCCAGGTTTTCAGATGTCTCTGTCTCTGTCTGCAATTTTGTTTATGAAGCTCCCAGCAATTCAACAGTATCTAGCTTCATTATTGTGACATATTTCTGAGTGAGACAGGATGGGCAGGTAGGACATAATGAGAGGAATTTAATTTGATTGTTAAAAAGTGGGCGTATCGTAACAGTGCGGAGACAAAGATGAAACACATCATATGCTTCATGTAATGTTAGTTACTGAAAGAGTCTACTGTTAAATGCCTCGTGCATAATCTATTTTTTTGGGGCTTTTTAGCCTTTAATGTACAGGACAGGCAAGTGTGAGGGGGAGAGAGAGAGAGAGAGAGAGAGAGAGAGAGAGAGAGAGACATGCAGCAAAGGGCCACAGGCTGGAGTCGAACCCAGGCCGCTGTGGCAACAGCCTTGTACATGGGGCGCCTGCTCTACCACTATGCCACCGGCGCCCCGCCTTGTACATAATCTAAAGGGCCTGTAACCACGGTATTTTGGGGAAACAAAGACACTAGGACATACCATGCTGCTGCTAGCTAGCTGACTTAATCTTTGCTCTGTCTAGTTAAAAGATGTAGATTGATCTATGGGTTGATGTCATGATATTGGTTGAAATTGGTTGGTGCTAGTTTATGTAGGCAAACGTTGTCGTATTATGCTTTACAGGAAGAAATCATGATTGGATTTTGAAATAGAAAGTAAACTAATTTTTTAAATCTTGATTTAATAAACAGATAAATGAATAAATAAATTAAAGAGTGATGTGTCCACAGAGCACACTGTCAGCAGCTTTAGGAACTATTTCTTTAGTCGAAAATAGTACCAGGGAAAAACTTTCAGTGCGTAAAAGTGTGTAAATTTAACAATAATAATAATAATGATCATAAAAAAATTAATAATAATAATAATACATTTTATTTATAAGCGCCTTTCAAGACACTCAAGGTCACCTTACATGTAAAGATAGAGACAATACAGATTAATTAAATCAACGTGATAAGGAATAAAGCAACATAAAAAACAATAATAATATAACAGCTAATAAATATTCAGCAAAACCAGTTTATAGTGAAAAAATTCTGTGTAAATAGAAGGTGTGTGTGGCTAGACGGATGGGAGTGATCCACATACAACACTGTATTCACCTGCACTGTATTGAGGTGGAGGCAGGACAAAAAAAAACAAACAAAAACCACTCAACTGTAGAATTCTCTGCATTGCTGAATACCAGTGAAGGAAAAAGGAAAGAAAAGCTTTCCTGTATTGTGGGTGAACTGATCCTTCCTCTGGCAGCTCTCCAGCAACTGATAATGCCTCTCAACAACAACAACATGACAAACTGATTGGTTGTTTCATTGTTTCTGCACCAATTTCTTGGAGAGGATGAACAAGACAACATGACCAACAGAGGACAGTGGGAGGAATCGTTTTAAGAGCACTACGGCGGCTCAATGAGACATGAGACAGCTCCCCACAGAGGCTTGTGCCTTAAGTCAGGCTTAGCATAAATTTTACACAGTTCATAATTCAACTACAAACAATGCCAAGCCAGCAGAAGCAAACAAGGCTTCCCCCCCCTGCGCTAATGTAGTCTCCCTTCAAGAAGCGAGGCCAGCTGCCGTTGCTCTGAGCGTGACGTCTCCAGTCGGGCTCTTGCGGCAGAGGTGCCACCGTGCATCTGCCACGGGTGTCAAATCACTGCAATATCCTTGACACCATTCATCGGCCGACAGAGACAGAGACAGAAAGAGAGGGGAGAACAGGGGGAGACGGAGAGACACGTGGCAACTGAATGCATGTTTTGGCTCGTCATGTTGTGTACCCCGAGACAAGACCTGACAGGGTGCTAAATAATTAGATTTCACACTATGCCAAAATGCAGGGTGTATTCCAGAGAGGTCGCCTTCAAAATAAACATCAATTTTTATAAATGTCAGAAAATCAATTTGCCACAATTCACAGGTGCTTGCAGACATATTGGAGAGCGTGTGAAATATTGGGTAGTCCTGGGCTCTCCTGTTCAGCTCTGTGTCACATTAAACAATAAAAAAAACCCACCCAAATAACAAACCAGGGTGCTGCACAGCTATGCTAACACTGTTTCAGAGGTTTGCTTACATGCTGTAAGCTGTCAGCATTTTCTCCCTGCATTTATTTTCACTGTTTATCTTACAAAAAAAACAGCCTTTTTTTTTTTTTTTACTTAACTCTTAAGGTTTCTCTGCTGCTAAAGGCGGAAAGGACCAATAATAGTAGTCGGCTGTGCTGACAGCCGCCAGTGCAGACCTGCTCTTTGCACAAAGGAGAAGAGAGCAACAAAAGCTGTTAGGCGCCTCTAATTTCTGAGGTGACATTTTATCAATATTGCTACACAACTTCTCTGCCGTAGTTACTTTCTCTTCTCAATTACAGAGATCAGTGAGTCTTGAGATGCATCCTGAAGGTCACAGATTCCGGTAAAATTCTGCTTTGTGGAGGTAAAAGTTCGACAGCGTCCGGTGCCCTGCAGCACGTTTAACATCAATCAGCACTCTGCAGTGTTTACATCTGGAATTCAAGCACTCTGACTGAAAGTGACCTTTCTTTATCAAAGCCAGGACGTATTCACTGTAAAGTACAGTGCAGACAGTACGGGAATATATTTTAATTTGCCATTTA